ATATTTAGTCTCTAGGATTGATCACAAGGCATATTTCAGGTTATATCTTTTTATTAGTTGGAGAAGTTCTACTCATATATTGTGTGAGCCAAATATCTCGATTGACATTGTTCTCTCTCTCGACCCAGAAAGAAGAAGACATTTGTATATCTCTTAGTATTTTCTGAGAAATTGTTTGAACCAGCATGCTGAGAGTTTAGGGTATCTTTTCAACCCATCTTTATAATCAACATAGTTGATACCAAACCGAACAGTGTATCCTAATGTCCATTCAAAATTGTCTAGCAATGACCACGCAAAGTACCCTTTCACATTGACACCATCTCTGCAAAAAAAGAGGTTGTAAATAAAATATCAGAGATATAACTAATTATATTGTTGAACGAATCTGTCGCAAAGGTGAAACTCACTTGATCGCTGCTTCAAGGTAATAAAGATGGCGAAAATGATAGTCAACTCTTTGGTTGTCGACTAGGGCTTCCTCAAGAGATAACTTGGGATCATTAAGCTCATCAAAGCCTAGAGTACAAGGGGAAAAGTTAATGTTTAGTTTTCCGTTTAACATCTAAAATCCATTCCTCGTAGTTTACCACCCTCTATCTGCCCAGAAAAACTAAAATATATATGATGTTAACTTTAGAGATGGTTACCATTCTCTGTGATGTAAATAACCGGATTATGATATTTTCTCTTGGTGTAGAGCAAAACATCTCTAATGCCCCTCGGATAAACATACACAGTCTCTGAAGCACCCTGCAAGATCGACCATCAATCATAAGGAGTACTTATGGATATTGAAGAGGAAATTATAAGGTTTAAAAAATTTGATACACACCTTTGGCCCAATGGGAATTCCGTTACGCACGGCTGGCAAAACAAAGACAGACAAGATGTCATAAACAAGATAACATATAAGAGTAATTTTATTTATTACATCGCCAATCTTTATAAGAAAAATGTGGTCAGGAACTAATTACTGAGTAAATTGATAGCTGTGGGTTTAGAATTTATACGTGAAATTGAAGTAAGGGAGTCTTTTAAGTAGCTAGCATTTCCAGCGCGTAGTTGCGGTGCATCAGATACATAGTTAGATGTATAATAGTTCAATCCGATAAAATCAAATGATCCCTTCAGCAATTTGGATTGCTCCTTGTTGAACTTAGGTAATCGGATTCCAACAAGAGATCGCATGCTGTACGGGTAGTCACCATTTGTCAATGGGTCCATAAACCATCCAAGCAGGAAATCTAAGGATCTAAGTGCAGCATCTTTGTCTTTCTTTGTCTCGGAAAATGGCACCACCCACAGTGACACCAACGTTATTCCTATCAATCCCTTTTGAGACGTCTGCACATGTCACAACATTTTGCTAGTCAATTAATGTTTTATCTCATTATAACTGCACACATTTTCCTTAATATATACGTAAAATATCGAATTAATAGGGTCATTGTTGTTGTAGATTACCTGATATTTTTCCTTATATAACTTAACGGCAGTT